CGGGCAGGGCCGGGACGGGCCGCGGGGGCGCCCCGGCACCCGCCGTCCCGCTCGCGTCCGCCTCGTGCTTATCCCCCCCTTCCTCCGCCCTCTGCTTGTTTGTGTCTGCGTTTTCTGCGCCTTATCTCTGCCGAACATCCCGGGGAGCTCTGCTTGCTGCCCGCGAGGGGCTTCACTGCCGCGTCCTGCGCCGCCGGGGTGGTGAGCACTGCGCACGGGAGCCTGCAGCCCTCCTTACCCCCCTTCCGCCCTTTAGAGCGGGGTTTCCTTTGGTACCTCCAGTTCTGGGCAATTCCCGATGAGAGAAATATCCGTCTCSTAGTGCTGCTCTTTTCGGTGGTTAAAATAACGCACACCCGAAGTCTGGTTTATTGGGTCAATGGGGTCAAAAGCTAAGCTGTGGTTTTCATCGAATGAGAATGTCGGATGAATGTTATTTACTCATTTCTATTATTTTTTGTGTRTGTGATTCCCTAACTTAGATGTTCCTGAAAAATCTGGAACTTAAACAATTTTCTTAGTATTTGATGGCTAGGCTGTGTGAGCCACATCTTGCAGACTCATACTGTACATAGTGTGTTTTTAATTATAGCTGTTTCAGCTGTTGCTGAAATTGTACTTGAACGGTTTYTTGACCCAATTTGTGTTGCTGTTTTTGCTCTCCTGTCCTCACCCTTATTGTATTCTTACCAACAAAGCCCATATCCTTCACTGGGATCTACAGCAGACCTCTGCTCTGTAAACATCTCTGACTTTAGATACCCAACATCTTCAGGTTGGCTTGGACTGTTGGCTTCAGGCWTCCAGGCTGAGAAGGAAATGCACACCTATAGAGTTCAGTTCATTTCTTGTTTCTTAGCTACAAATTTTTTTAGACAACTGAAGTTAGGTGAGTCAAGTTCCATTGGAGCTCTGTGCATGCAAAATCTTAATTCTCGTTAACATTCTYGTTTTAGCGTAGTATTGCTACAAAATTTCATGATGCTCTGTTTCATGTGAACGTAGGTAACTTACAGATGACTTAAAATTTAGGAAAGTTTTCTTTCAGAGCAGATCCTTGCAGACAGTCTTCAGCACCAATACAGCATCAAATCAAGCAGTTTATGCAATGCCACTGTCTGATGAGATTGTCTTATATGTCTTGTATGTTGTTTAGAAGGGGCTAAAACAGTAACAAAAAGAACCTGCTGTTTGGTTAGAAATTACAGCGTATTGAAGAATTGCCAAAATATGTAATCAATGGCCAGAAGTACTAAACTCTTCGCAGAACTGGCCTGTTCCATGAAGATAAAATTCTCRTGCAGTGCTACTCCATGTTAGAAGCTCAAACATAAAAATATGGTTGGTGACATAGAAGGCTGACAAACTAAGGTTATGTTGGCTRGGAGGACAGTCCTGTGTAGTAGGCACGTCAGGGACTCATTTTTCTTCGATTTTTATTTTTGGATATGATCTGGAGGTTTTTGTTTGTTTTTAAGATATAAATCAAAGAAGGACTTTTAGGGTAAGATTAGTGCAGTAGGAATGAAGGGTTGCTATGAATTCTTACAGAGTGGGGTCATTTAGGACCATTGGTCTGTGTGCTGGTTTGCAGTATAAGAAAGACTCTTCCTCATTTCCCCTTTAGTCTTGCTTCCCTGCTGTTACTCTTAGGGCTTGCAATACAAAAAAATAGCCTAGGATAATTGTAGTAGTATTAGCTGTTCTGGAATATCTCTCCATGTAGAGGGTCTGTTGTGCAATGTATGATTCTTTGGGTTTTTTTTCTACATTAGTATTGTTTTGTTTTAGAAGTACACAGTATTCCCAAACAACATTTGTTAGCCTTCTTGAGTAAAGACATGTCCTTTGAGTGGCTTTTACAGAATACTCATCCCACAACAGCTCTGAATTTGTTTCCTTGTGTAGTCTTGAATCCATAAGTTGCTTACAAGCAATGTCACACACCTCTGCTCGAGAGTGATGCACACACAGGCTGCTTGGTGCTCAAACCTGTAGAAAACTGGAAGATGTTAACCCTGTGCAAAGTCTTTGCAGATATTAAAGACACACTTAGCATGTGTGTGATGGATTTTTTTTTCTCCTAAAGGTATATAATTTAGACAGATATATCCCTGATACGAAGGCCTTTGCATCCCTGCCAAATTTTGAGTCTGGTGTTTTAAAAACAGAGCTATTCAAAGCAAATACTTCCAGATTTTGTTTGCATGGCCAAATTACTTTTTGTTGTCTTCAGAATCACCTGAAACAATTTTATTTTTATTATTTTATATATACATAGCGATAAAAAACTCTGTCAATATGGGATAGGACCCATAACTTTCAGCCCAATCCCAAAATAAACCTGGCAAAACTGAAGGTGGGTTCTTTATTAGCACTGCTTGAAGCTTCCCAGTATTGGAAGGCTGATTGCACCATCTGTAAAGCCTTAGTAATGCTGTAAGTTGTTAGGAAAGGAACTTGTACTTTGGCAGGAAGATGTAGAGTTCTGGGATGTGGGATTCCAGTACTGCTGGAATATTCTTCTGAATATTGTCAACAGAGCTGCTCTGTGTTCTCCCAGAAGTGTGGCTCCTGTGCAGCATGAGAGTGCAATCCCAAGTTTTGTCATTTTGACATAAGTTCTATGGTTCTAATGGCTCAAAAAAAAAAAGGAATTAGGCCAAATAAAAATATCTGAATTTCAGTGCTGCAAATAATGAACATAGTAAGTGCTCTTAAGGCAGAATTTATATTTAATCTTTACTGTGTTCTCAGTCCCGCAGTGTCTTAAATGAACTTCAAAAATCCAAAAATGTTTTTTTAACATAGAAACTATTTGCACTGTACAGTTGTTAGCTGCAAAGTTACTCATTTCATTAAAGCTGTAAGAAAACAGTTCTGTGTTCACTCTCCTTCCCTCTCCCCACCCTCCTGTCTCCTTTAGTCTTCTGAACTGAGCTTACAAATTCTGCCTTGTAGATTCGACCATTAGGGGTTGAAACAAAATCCCCGTTCCTTGGGAAGATAAACCTTTTTTTTCCAAGCTAATACAGGATTTCCAACTTTGCAACTAAACCTTATTGATGTAAGTGTGGGCAGAAAACAAATAGCCTTAAAAGTTACCATTTGGCTACAGTGGCTTGCTTTTAAAAATGATGATCCTCATAGCTGTATGCAATTATACAAGTTTGAAAGTGCCCTGTGCCACTTTAACTGTATCTACACAGCAGTTTATTCTTGGTAGACTAATAAAAATAATTCACATTCTTAAACACTGTCCTAAAACTAGGATAGTTGTAGTAGTATTAGCTGTCTCAGGCTTGTAGGAAGGACCTGGGAAATCTGGTGGGATCCTACTGAGATGGGATTTTGCTGCAGGTGCTGTTCCTCTTCCAAAATACCCCGCCTGGTTTACTCCCACTGCAACGCTGCTGGTGCTTTTCAGGCCCCATCCATGTGGCCAGGGCAGATGTTATTCAGTGGATATTTGAGTTTGCTCATTCCTTGAGTGGTACGAACTGGAAAATCTCTGAGGGATCTACTCARTGTATAATACTTTGCATCCTCATAAATCTCAGAATGGGGTTCATAATTAATGCAAATGACTCTTATTAATAAATCAATTATTTTTGACATCATAGAGATGTCTCCTATGTCTATCAAAAATAATAGCAGATGAAGACATAAGATTTTTAACTTCAAGGCAAATATTTTGTACTTAAGTCCTAGATTCACCTTATATCTTGACCTATATCTTGACTGATGGTTAAGTGCAAGGTCTTAGTCTTTTTGTTTATAACAGTCTTAGTTTTAGCCTTTTCTTTTGATTCCCTTCGAGAGAAGGAGTGCTATTAAGTTATGCTTGGAAATGCAGAAATGTTCTTGCATCTTTGAAACATGTGGTGAGATTATTTTGCAATTTGTATCTTTTCTGCCAGAACTGGTTCTCTATCTCAGGAAAGTTAGCCCAAATTTTAGCTGGAAATTTATCATAGATGATGTCAAAGGATTTAGATAACATTTAGGAGCTACAGCTCAATTAGGAGCTACAGCTCAAGTAGGAGAAAGGGTCTAGCAGTATTTCTGAGCGCAGCGAGAATCTCCCTCCCACTCACTTGATTTTCAAGCCAGAGTGCTAGATTTCCTGGGCTTTGGCCGAAGTATATTTTAGAATATAAATCTCRACAGCTTTTTAATAAAAATTGTGACTAAGTTATCACCCCGTTTTGAAGTTCACCATTTACGAGTGAGCAGATTTCTGTTTAAATTAGGGGGAAACCCAGCTGCAGCTGTTTTCTTTTCTGTTTTTTTTCTGTAGAACTTGCAGATTAACTATTTTAAATTGTAGTAGCATCTTAGAAATTGTATTTAAGACTGAGAGGAGGGCTTGTTTCAACAACTGTGCCTCATTTTGGTGTGTTGTGTAATTCAGGTCTGTTTCTGTTTTGAAAAATCTACTGGCGTATATCATAGGGTCTAGGAGGTGCTATTTTTTGTACTTGGCAAATGCTTTGCTTTTGATGAATAAAAATGTTGGGAAGTATTTTCCTTTTTCCTTCAACTTTGTACATTGATCTTCAGATGGAAAACAAAGATTTATTTGGGGGCATTTTTTTAATGTTTCAAGTTTTGTCCTGAGTTGTTTTTGGTTTTCGTTTTGGTATTTTTTGACCCTCATTTTTCTTATTTTAATTTTAAAACATAACAGTATGTTACTGGAGTGTTTTCTGTCGAACTGAAACATTGCATCTATTTCTGCAAGCCGGTACAAAATGGAACTTATTTCTGTTCATGTAAGAGTCTCATCTGGCATTTGAAAGGGTTTGCTGATGAAGAAACAGTCTTTATCTAGCTGTTGAAGGGGATGTTTTTTTCATTAAGCACTTTTATGTTTTAACTTCTGAACTCTGCAGAGTTCCCTCATGTTTCCTCACACATATGCAACTTTTTATCCAAATTGCATGGTTCAAAAATACTCCTTTTTTTATGCTGAAACATCTAAACCATTTGTTGTTTTGTCTGTGACCCCACAGGTCAAAATCTGCTCCAGGCCTCCTTCCATTAGCTCGCGTTGTCCCAAACTGTATCTCGGTTGCTAAGTTCACTGTGCTGAATCTGGAATTGACTTGGGYATTAAATCAGGTTTACATTTAAAAACACGTACTGGATGCATTGTTATGAAAAATAACCTGCACAACCTGACATTTCTGACTTTAACAAGAGTACTTGGTGCGGTTTGTTAATCTTTGGCTGGTGTTGTCTTCTACTTCTGGATCTTCAAGCACCTTTTCCATTGTAGAAAACATCGTAGTCTTCAGGAATCAAYTACAACATTGCAATACCAAGTTGTGCTGTGTGGAACATAAGGTTTTCTGGGGCTTTGTATGTAAAAAGCTTTGGGTTTGATGTTGGCTTAGGTTACACTTCTTTTTCTTTTTTCTTTTCCAGGGCGGATTACTGGAAATCTCAGCCAAAAAAGTTCTGCGACTACTGCAAGTGCTGGATAGCAGACAACAGACCTGTAGGATGATCTACCATAGTACCTTAGTAATTCTGAGATACCAACGATTTGAATTACAAGCTCTTAAAAGCACTTCTGATAATAATCTGTTGATGCATGAATTATATCATTTTAAAATCTTTATAATATTTACCTGTGATATTTACAACAAGTTAAGTGAGAAATGGGTATCTGCACACCTGTTAACTTAAACTCTTCATCTCTGCAAGGGAGTTTTGAGTCACTGTGTCAGATTTAGGCCTCTAGCTTTTGAATGCTCGGATTAGCTCAGGTGTTTGTCATGGGAACTGTATTTGGCTCTCAGCTGCTGTTCCTGTAGAGCTTCAGTCTTTCTGGCAGCTTTTGGCCTGCAGACCATCCTGCTATTACCTAACTCTCCTATTTTCCTTTTTCTGCCCTCTGTCTTAGATTATTATGGACCGGCAGACTAGAGACTAGTTTAAGTTCATAGGACCTTTGAGGAATGTAGCGTAATCTAAATAAGGACCATAGTAATATTTGGAATGCTAAATAAATCACTTAAAATAAAGCTTGCAAGGAAAGAAACAGCAAGTTAAAAAAAAAAATAGGTGATACTTCAAAGAGTAGCATGGAGAGGGAGCCCAGGCTTCCCCTGCTTGTTTCTAGTTATAAAAATCYTACATCTCATAGATACAGAGTGTGAAATTTTGTATGATACCATTTCAGAATGTTACTGTTTTTTCATAATTTTGATTTTGAATCTTTCTTAGTGTTCTTAGCAAACATTTTATAGCTATATTGTTTGCTTTAAGTATTTTCAAAAGAGGTTACATTTAGGCTTGTTCAACTAGATTTTAACCATCTAAAACTAATTAAATTTGTATCATATTTTATTTTTCTTGTTCTGAAGAGCATTGAATTTCATGAAAGAGGAAAGAATCATAAAGAAAATGTGACAAAACGAATCAGTGAGGTAACGCAAACATCTTATTTTTACAAATATGTATTTTTTGATTTCTTTCATTGTCAGACTTGTTTAATCTTTTATTTGTTTGTTTTTGTAGATAAAAAAGAAAAGCTTGGAAAAAGCAAAAGAAGAAGAAAATATGTCAAAAGAATTTGCAGCAATGGAGGAAGCAGCAATGMAGGCATATCAAGAGGATTTGAAAAGGCTTGGAATTAAGCCAGGTAGTTCATATAGCTGCCAAAAGATTAAAGACAGAATTGAAACAATATTGAATAGGAATTTGTTTGTTTGTTTCTTACATTAGATTTTAGGAGCATAAGACTCCTAGGCCTCCAGGACTGTGTTTGCTCACAAAAAAAAAAAAAAGAGAGCGTACCTTCAATTTGCAAGTTATGGAAATTGCAGTATAGGATGTTTCTAGCTATGCTGTCCTCTGCGCATATAACAGTCCAATTTGGACTAGAAAATTCAACAACGTGATAGGAAAAAATACTGTGTAGCTTGCACTTGCAATCGGCACTGCAGCTTCTTTTAGTTAGTGGTGTGTTTCACTTCTGCTGGTGGATACGAAGTTCTTGCCAATTAAAAGAGCTTGGACCCTACCACTGTCAAGTAATGGAGCTTTGAATCTCCTACTAAACGTGCAGTTCAACCAAGTACCTTTGATCTGTCCCTGTGAAGACATATCTTTAAAAAAAAAAAAGTTCATAGTTGCAAGCTCCTGCACAAGCTGTTTTTTTTCATTACTCTATTTATTGCTCAGAATTCACAAGTCCTTGTGTTTTTTTTCTTCATGTTACTCATCTCATGATATTTGGAGTTCCTCGTGGAACACTAGTGTTGCTAAAATGCAGAGTTTGTTTGCTATGGTTTTCAGTTTATCTATGCTGTGTGTGATGAGTGAAAATACTCCTAAGAGCAAAATTTCATGGTTGTTGTTGCTACAAAAGAGTGACTACTATGTAAGTTCAGATTCTCAATCTTTCTTTTAAAAGGGAGTATCATTTTCTTTAAGATGATGTAGGTCCCAGTTCGACACAGAGTAAAACAGAGGAAAAGAAAGGAAAGAAAGAGAAGAAAGAAAAAAAGGAAAAGAAGGAAAAGAAGAAAAAGATGTCTCAAGATACTTCAGGGCCACCAAAAGGTGAAAAGAAGGAGTGGGTACAAGGACTTTCCCCTGAGGGCTACACATACTACTACAACACAACCACTGGAGGTAAGAACTAGTGCGAAGCAAATACAAACATAATTCCTGCATGTAAATGAGAAAAGGCTACCTATGTTTTTTTCTCTTCTGCTGTATCAGTTGTAGATTGGTAATTAAAATATTAAAAATTAGATGGAGATTTCATGTTGAAGACATGGGCATGCCTAATGGCATCCAGAACTTAAGACTACCTGTGCTTTTTATTAGTAATTTAGTAATGTGAAAACTCAGATATTTCTGGAAATTGCTAGSCTCTCAAAGGTTAAATACAGAAAAAATAGATGTATTCTTTCCCATGATGATGATTATTTTTTTTTTCCATCTTAACAGGATGTATCTCATTTGTTTGTGCTGAGGAGCAGTGTGTTATGATTTATTTAAAGCATAAAAGAAATCTATTATTATTAGAAGTAAATGTTATAAACTATTTCTTATAATTTTAAGATCTAATATGAAGATTTGCCTTAGTATTTCCTCATACAATATTATTTCCAAAATGTAAAAATCTCCTGGCCAAAGTGACCATTTAAAAAAAACAAAAATTCTAATTTGTACCAAAATTCTAGTATCTGAGTATCAGCCATGATTTAATAGAGACTGGCAAGTGATCAGTCCTTATAACGCCACCAGTAATTTTGACACTCTGGTTACTATTCCTTGGTAGTGAAAATGCCATGGTTTGAGAAAGGATGATTTATTTTTTGATGAAGCATATCTATAATACTTGTTCATATATGTAACAGATGTTGATGTGTCCTTTAGATCTGGGGTGGTTTTTTTTTTGTTTTTGGAACAACTTTAAAAATGGACAGAAGTAAACAACAGATTTTTTTTTCTGTTTTTGCTTTGTTTTGTCTTTTAAGAATCACAGTGGGAGAAACCTAAAGGATTCCAAGACAGCTCTCCAAAGTCTAAGACAGTAAGCAAATGCTTTTTTTTTCCTTAACTAAGCTAAAAAATGTGCATGCCTGTCTTTTCTGACTGCAAAGTGTAGATTTTTTTGCTCTTAGTAAACTTAAGAAAATATAAATTGAATATAGAGAATGATTTACTATGTTACTAATTAAAAATAAAAATTGACTACCTATATCTTTGTTTTAGCAGCTATTTTATACAGCTTTATACAGTTTTATACAGCCATTTTTTTTTTTTACATGGCTTTTAACCAGTTCTTCATCTCTTCAGCCTAGGAGTGGCCTTGCCAGGATATTTCGGCAATGTCACTGCTGTCTTCCAGTGAAAGAGATGGCCTTGTGACTTGTGGCCATGGGACATATTTGACAGGATGGTGAACTAGTTCACAGAGTGTGAGGATATCCGAGTTGAGCACGGTGCTTTGTAGGCTTCTGGTTCCTTGAATTAGCTTACTGGAGAGTCAGAGGAATGTCAGAGCAGAGAGAGCAGCTGGAAGAGAGGAGGAGTTCCCCTTTTGGCAGCATTTCATAGTTAGGTCATCTCAGCAGTATCATAAACACACACCTCCTGCCTTGGCTATCTCTCTTAAACTACATGGTCRTGTTTTGCCTGATCTTTCTGGTGTCTTTACTCATTTCAGCTCTTGCTAGGTATGGGAGTTTGATTGGTCTCTTATTTAGCCTGAACTAAAGCGATTGGAAATACAGCTCTAACAAGGACTGACATTAAAGGGCACACTTGGAGTGCGTAGTTCAGCTGAGATTCATGTCCCTTCTTGTTTCATAGCACACTAGCTTGCTCCTCAGGCTTCACAAAACATGCATAGCACACAGTAATGATAAAGTGTGTTGAAGATCACAAATGACTTGAGATGGACATCGTGCCTGTTAGCATTTGTATAGTGGAATACTTGGCGTGTCTAACGTTATATATCTGCTAAAACCCTCTAACAACCAGATCTGAAATGTTCAGGCTAGAACTTGAACAAAAACAGTAAGTTGAACTTAAGGACAGTCCATGGTCCTTTTTCCACTTAAATTTTCCTTTTGCTTCTTGTATCGAAACTGGCACATTGCAGCTTTTGAGAACAACGCTTTGAGGAAAATTACTCACTGAAGTTTTCCCAGTTTTCCATTTTCACCACTAACTTGTGTAATTTCTCTGTTTGTATAAGTAGCTTTCTGTAGCACATGAGAGAACYTAAATTTTAGGTTTTCTTGAGCTTTAAAAACAGAACACAGTCTTACTAGAGTATTAAGCAAATGCAAAGGTGTATATATGTGGACGCATACATATATATATGTATGCAAAACTTGCATTAATGGAAAAAATAATACATGATGAAAATAATATTTATCTTGCCTCAGAGTTCTAGCCTATACAGGGGATGGGCAGTTTTATACTTAAGGAACAGTGAAATAATTGTATATGTAAGTGTAGGTAGAATCAGTTCTTTGATGAAAATCTCAAGTTTTGTAAACAGTAATGATTTTCCAGGAGTAGATGATTTTATAAAACGTTTTAATTATACATCCACAAAGACACACCAGCAGCTTGTGCTCAATATCATAAATATGTGTTAAGTAGGAAAAATGAGTGCTTTGCTGATTTTTTTTTCCCCTAAATTAAGCAAATTTGTTGGAATGTATTCCAATGTATTCCAAAGTTTCATTCTTAAATTTTTTTTGGCAAAGTTCTCTTTTAGGATACATTTTAGAAGACTTTTTGTTTGTTTTCTTGTAGTAATCTTGTAAAATCTTGTAGAGATTAGTTTTTCCTCAATTTCTACTTAGCAAAAGGAACAGAAAGAAAATTACAATTTAAGGTGTGAATGTTTTGGAAAACAAAAATTTGTAGCAATCTGTATTTAATTGCATTTGAGTCAAAAAGAATGCTAACTTGCTAACAGCTTTAAGGGTCTAGGTTTCAATCAAACATTCAAACAGTAAAATTACCATAAATAAGAAATACTCAAAGGATGAATATTGTTATATCTTGTACATGATACTTTGAGTGATCATTAAAACTTCTTTTTTGTTTTTAATTAACATCTATCTTTCTCAGACAGCAGAGTGGGTCGAAGGTGTTTCTGAAGATGGTCATACCTACTACTATAACACACAAACAGGAGGTAGGGGAGACTCTCTTTTCCAATAAAGCACCACTTCAGAAAGCGTTTTCAACACTGCCTTTTGTTTAGCAAGTGAACTGTGTTTTAATRTTATTTCAAAGTTTTATATTTTTAAATTCATCACATGAGTTGAAATAGACTTCTTGCATAAGTCGATGATGGCTTTTGGTTGTTTTTTCAGTATGTATGCACTTGTGCTTCATAGGTTTTTAGACATATATAACTATAAAATATGGATTCTTCATTTATACAAATGTGTTAATGTTTTTGTTTGGAAATCAAGGRGAAAAAAAAGATTTAATTTTGACGGCTCTAGAGGATTAAATGAGAATCTGCTACTTTTGCTGAAGTAGCACTGGTAAGAGGAGATGGGGCTCCTGAAAGAGGTCTGGAAATTCACAGAATGACAGACTGGTTGAGGTTGGAAGGGACCTCTAGAGATCATCCAGTCCAACCCCCCTGCTCCAGCAGGGACACCCAGAGCACGGGTCACAGGGAGGCATCCAGGCAGGTTTGGAAGAGCTCCAGAGAAGAAAGGAAATTCATGGTAACTTCCCCAGATCAGGCATCTGCTCACCAGATCTTGCTGGCGCTTGTAAGATAGGTGATGCCTTATTGGAGAGCTGGTGGTTTCATACCAGTTAYGGGTCTATTTCTGCTGCTGGGTGTGAACTGACATTTCTGAAGATGCTGAAAAGAAAAGAAAAATCCATTTTTCTGCATGCCACTTCCCTACCCAAATAATTTGTCATTTGTTCTTTTGAAAGGGAGATGAGATGCTGGGTATTTTTTAAGTTGCATGCTAAATTCAGATATGTTTTATGCCTTTGGTTATGCTGCTTTTTAAAATTCTTCGTGGACATGTGACAGAAGGAGTATCTTTTGAAATCAACATGTTTGGTAATTGGTCTTAGAAGATTTTGATGTTGTAACAGCAATCTTTTATTTTTATGTAGCTATAGGTGTTCTTGGAATGCTTTAAAACTGCTTATCAGCTTTGATACACTAATCTCATTCTCTGAAGAAAAGAGAAATTGTTAACCAAAAAGCATATTTATAGAGTCTAATCTCAGACATGTCATTTAGGAGGCTGGTATCCCTAGGCTAAATTCCTGCTCTGAGTCATACTCCGGAAGGCTTCCACTCCATCCACTATATGAAGCACCTAAGGGAATGAGCCTTCTCCGTTAATGGCCTAAAACTCGATGACATGAGTATCCTTCACAGCCTGGTTTGTTAGCTCAGAGCCATGGACAGACAGCACCTAGCATTTTTACTTCTCCAAAAGACATATACCAGCATACCTGTTAGGTATTTGGAAATACATAAAATAATGAGAAAGAAAACTTTAAATTATTTTATGTAAGCTTTCAAATGTGATAAAACAGCTAATATACTTTTGCTCTCTTATTGCTAACCGTTTTAAGACCTTTGAGTCAACTGTAAAAATAATAAATTTAGACGTATTTAGGCAAAATAGACAAATCAAATTAAACAAGCACTTCCAGAGGGCAAATGATCTGTCCTGTTTTAGGATGAGATGGAAACATAGTTTCCTAGTTTGCTATGAATTATCTTAAGGGCTAGTTACAACAAGGTTTATTAAAAGTGGAGTCAGCTGCTGTGATAATGTTTCTGCTGTAGGGTGCTACCTTTCTGATTAAGCTTATGTTAAAAAATAAAAATAAAAATGACGTACTGGACAAAAACAAAAGGCTTGTGCTAAATTTTTTTCTGTATTTTTTCATAAGGTAGCACCTCTACTGGAAGATATTGTCATCAAAGCAATAATAGATCAAAATTAGAAACATAAATAATGTGGTTTTCCAAATATCTTGGACAGTATCTACTTGGGAGAAACCTGCTGGTTTTGTTTCGTCTTCAAATGAGAAGAGTCAACGTAACAAGCGTGCTGGAGACCGGGCAGAAACCGATTCCAAAGCATCTGAGTCGGACTCTGAGGATGACAGCGGAAGTGAGGATGAAAGTCCTGAAAGAAATTTCAAGGTAAGTTCTGTCTTCAGGGCTGCTTTGTTCTTCACAGTGTTCATTTTCTACCATAAGATTGGTAGAATCTTTGTCTTTTACCTCTTACAGTATGCTGTACTCGTAATTAGATTGAACCTTATGACTGAAAAGCAAAGTTTGCACTTGTTTGAGTAGTAAAATTCATCTTTATTCAGTTATTTGTCACATAGATAGCACTGTTCCAGGATATTGTCAAAAGTGTGATGTTCTTCAAGAAAGGAGAATATCACGCTATTGACATGAGTGACAGTATCACTCAAAATATTTCTCATCTCTGAAATAATCCACAAAATGATTTGAGTTTCAGAGTGAGGTTATGACTTCTAAGCTTCACTAGTAAAAGTGACTGCAAAGTCCTCCTCTTGAAAAACAATCAGTTAGCTATCTTTGTCCTCAAATCTGAAGGTTTATCATCAAGGCACCAGTTATGGCTCTTGTTGGGCCAAATCTTTCCTGGAACAGATAGTCCAGAACAAGGATAATCCAGAGCCAGTTTAAGCATAAAAAGTATTAATAGACAGATGTAAATTCTAAAATATGTGTTTCACTGTGCATCATTATGAAGTATTAACAGGTGCTGTGAAAGGCACGTGTGTGTGTGTGTGTGCGTGCGTGCGTGTGCACGCAGGAAGTTGTATGTTGTATATTCACCTCTTTTATTTTTTTTGCATGTTAAACTTTCATTTTACATTTGTATTCGTTACTGCTTGCTCTCATCAGCCATGATAGGTGGGACTTCCCAACTTTGTCTAGTCTTTACGATTTTTATTRACTGTGTATGTGATGGAAAGTACAGGAGAAAAATGGTAAGATTTTATAACAATATGAAATGTATTGTTTCAAGTTATTCCAATTTGAAAAGTATAAATAATAGACAATTATAAATAAAAGATGCAAAAKAAAGCTACATTGTGTATTTTATTTTTGCTTAAGGTCTTCCTTTTTGTCTTTTAGAGGAAAGGAGATAATGGTGAAGAAACAGAAGAAAAGAAATCTCCCAAAGCTAAAACATTAGGTGTATGGCGAGAAGTTAATCTAGAAGAGGAAATGAAAAGGGAGACTACCTCAATTTTCCAGGAAGCCTCCAGTGATGCATCTAAGACCACCAAACCTTATGGAACCTGGAAATCAATTAAAACAGAGGAAGAAGACACGTGGTAGGTATCTGTTTGCCATGCGTATCCTCAGAATGTTTATTTCCAGAGTCCTTGTTTTTAAGAGCCAAAGCTTTTGKTTCTGACACTCGTCAGAATGTGCCTAGCAGTTACTGGGAATGTAGTCCAAATACAACTTTTGCCAAGGTGGTTATTTTAAGGAATATCTTTCTGTGGAGAATAGTGGTAGTATTTTGTTTTCTGTGTAAAGTGAACCATAAGTACAAAATCAGCTTTGATACATTAGTAGATTGTTGCCATCCATTATTTTTTTTTTTCCAGAGGTTAAATATTGACTGTGTAGACGTAGTTATTCTAAGCTTATGCTCCTTAGCATCATCTTTTCCAAAAATATGTTTCAACTGCCTCACAAGTTCTTGTGTCTCCTTCTTCWGCTGTTTGCAGTCTAGGAATGACATAGGCAGCTTTCTTGAAGTCTCTAATTTCTAGGCTAAATTTTGTTGCTTCCTGGTATCAGTGGGTCTGACTCTGCATTAAGTTCAAGATCTCTCTTGACTGTCCCATAGCGGGGCCAGTCTTCTAGGATCAGCAGCATCTTGATCATTAGCATTTATTTGAATTTCTTCCCAGTAGGATCAATAGTTGTTGTCATAATAATTGTGCTTTTTAGTCTCTAAGGAAATTCTAGCCATGCCCGATATGTATAGCTAAGCTTGTTTTACAGGCACTGAATTATTTCTCAGTTCATGGGTCTATACCAGCTCTTAACCGTTCACCTGAAGGGCATAGCCCGTTATGACAGCTTTTTTTTTTTTTTCCTAACTTCCATCCCATCTGGCCTTTCAGTAGAAGGCTTGTGGTTGAACTCCTGCTTACCTTGCTCCCTAGTTTATATCTCCAAAATAAAGTTACTCAGAAGGAAAATTATAAATCTGCTTCAGCTTTTCCTGCTGTGACTCGATAAGTGCTGCTGCTCTCTTAATCTGGTAGGAGATGCTTTCTGGAACCCATTGGGAAATTTGCCTAAACCACAAGAGGTTTTGAAGAGCTGCCATTATCAAGGCAATACTTACGATGACTTAAGTTATCACCCTTCTTTGGAAGACACGTCTCTTTCCTTCAGCTAGCCCATACAGCATCTTTATCTTCTGAGGACACTASGCAATGTGCTTGAGGCATGACTTAGATTCGGATGCTTTTGAATAAGAAATACCTAGTTATTTAGGTACTGGAAAATTCAAGCCAGACGAGGGTTAGCCAAGTGGAGGCATTTCTTATAGCACTCAAAATAGACAGCACAGGTGCCAATGTTTACAAAAGGTTTAAATATGGAGATGAAAGAAAAAAAAATGAATAATCTACTTAGGCCAACATTAAATGTGGAAGTTCTTTYTCCCATGTCTAACTGATTTGCTGCGCATGTTTTCCTAATCAGTTGTTATTTGATTTTTACTGCACAATCCATGTATGAGATGGCTCCTGCTCTGAAGCATGCTGGCTTCTGCAGACAGTTTTCTGTTACGGTGTGCTCCAGATGTCCAAAGAGACTAGTGTTGGGAGAGGGAGATTAGCCTTTCCCATCATATTCATCCCATTCTACAGCATTTGTTTACTTCTAAATTCTTTAATAGCTACAGTTTCAACACTCTTCAGGCTAAATTAAGCACAGCTATACTTTTTAGATAAGTCATACGTATTCAGGATGCTCTATTGGACCAGTTAACCACTGCTTGACTCCAGAGCTGCTAAATTCTCCCTTAAGTGACTCCCTGATGAAAAACACTTTTAGCTGCTGGACATTATATAGCAGTTTGTACACAGGCTTGATGTGCACATAAGAGAGACAAACACAGTTCACTTTGGGTGAACAACAACAAAATTTACTTATGATTGAGACCAGCACCAGTGCTCTTGCAGGAGGTTGACCTTTGAGGGACACCACAACAGTCACATTTTCTTGACTTGCAGTCATTTTCATTGCTCCTGTTTGGGTGCTAGAGCTTCACCAAGCCTGCCTTGAAGCGCAGTGCCCAAAATGAGWTGACATCAGGAGAGCGCATGGTAGTGAAGGACCATGGCCCTACTTGGCCAGCACTGTAACACATTGTAATACTTTGCAGTAGTGTAATGCTGGTGTGATTCATTACAGGCTTGTGATCTCCTATATCCTTTTCTGCTGCTTGTTCAGTTGTTCCCCATTTTATGTTTGTGCCACAGGTTGTTAACTTAGATCAATGTTTTGCTGTTGATCTCCTTAAACTGATTGGTAATTTTTAGGTAATGTCTTTTTCTAGGTCAGTGTTAGCTGTTAGCTGTGATCCTCCRCAGCTGGCTGTCCCAACATAGGTCACTGGGTGATTCAGCAGGCCTGTTTTTTCTTTTCCATCATGTAGAACATTAAGTACTGAGGCACAGACCTGCGATGGTCACCTGAGGAAAACTACTCAATAGCATTTTCATAGAATCACAGAATGGTTAAGGTTGGAAGGGAACTCAGAGGTCATCTAGTCCAACCCCCTGCACACGCAGGGTCACCCAGAGCATGTGACACAGGGCTGCATCCAAGCGGGTTTGGAAGATCTCCAAAGAAGGAGACTCCACAGCCTCCCTGGGCAGCCTGTTCCAGGGCTCTGTCACCCTCGCTGTCAAGAAATTCTGGCATGGAACTGTTGTTAACTGCTCACTGATGACAGTCTTTTAACATTCTTCAATTTAGAACGTGCAGCACTGCTGGCTTTTATGGGACTGTTKGCGTGACCAGTAGTTGGTCCATGCTATAAGCACAGCACAGAATTGGGGACCCAGTTTTTTACTTCGTATGCCAGTTCAAATAACCTATACAGAACAAATAAAGAACATGTTTTTCTCGTGGTCCTAGCTGTGCTGATGATCTTGTCTAGAAAACTTTGTGACCTGCTCATATATTTTCATAGGGCTTTTCAAAACTACTTTGGCAAGTATATATGGATGCAACAGGCTGCATTTGGCAGTGTTGGTTTTCTTTTTCTCCATATAGATTAACCCCTCATTATTATTATTATTATTATTATTAWTAATAATTTTTATTTATATCCTTTCTTTTCACAGTGAAAAAGTGGACCTGGAGCTTCCTAGTGCAGAGGATGACAATGCAACATCTCCAGCGTTGGAGGTTCCAGAAGATGGAAAAGTGATATTTAAGGAGAAGACCGTCACCTCTCTTGGGGATGTGTCAGAAGGGGTGCCAGTGTTTAAAAAGAGAAAATTTGAAAATGGAAAATCTAGAAACTTAAGACAAAGACTAAGTGATCAGTAATATTTATCAAATCATTCTAGATTCTGTTTAAGCTAGAGAGAATCAAAAGTTTAATATTTTAAACAGGCTTTTATAAAGAAGTTGGTTAGAAATTAAGGATTTATAGCTGTTTAAACATATGTGAGTTGTAATATTTTTTTAATTTTATTTTGACGTGATTGCTTTCAGAATGGAAGTTTATGCTATATTACTTACGCAGTATTGTAAATACTTCTAGTTTTTATTTTAACCATGACATCTATGTCCAATTTACTCAGTTCATGCTGTTTTAAATGCATTGTATAAAGTATTTTTTACTCCTTTTCTMAGTATGTGAGAAGAAGGGTACAGATCTTTCGTACAAGAAATACCAGTAAAAGGCAGGTGCTGGAAAGCAGAACCAGCCCCCAAGATTGTTTTTTTTGTGTAGAGTCCTTTCCAAGTTAATGAGGAGAAATATTTTGCTTACAAACCTTYGGCTAATCAGTTGCAAGACAGTAGGTGGTGACAGTTCCAGCTTCTCAAACAGATAATTTGAAGCTGTTTTTAGATGAGTTGGTCACATCAGTGTCATACATTTTGAATGACAGCCAAAAATAAATTTCTTGTATACATTCATGATAAATGCAATATAATTCTGCAGAAGATTTAAAACTAATGTCTCTTAATAACACCCAAACCACCTCTGCAGGGGTAGATTTTTCCATGATGTCTTTGTTGTTGCTTTTACTTACATTTTTATTTCTTTTTACACATTTTCTTTCGTTAGTATTAATTTCTTTTTGTCTCTCTCCCCYGTAAAAAAAACAATTGCATGGCAGTCTGTGAAAACATTGCACAGGTGTCGCCCTGCTGTAGCATTCAGCATCCTTCTTGAGGCYGATGCTTTTGTCTGTTGGTGTAAGATGGGTGAGTTGGACAGTTGCAGGCAGTGCCAGGTTGACTGTTCCTGATGGCTGAAAGGAGCGGAGCATCTTGCAGCTCCGTCGTCCTCAGTACCACAGGAGAGGAGAAGGAACCAGGAACGAGTAACGATGGTGCCTGCACCGTCCAGGATGGCCGCAGTGCGGTGCTTGGCTCTTGACAATCCCAAGGTAAATGCTGAAACAGTTTCTTTAGGATGGTTTGACTCTTCATCTGGTGGGAATGGTCTGCAGTGAGCATCATCCAGRTTTTGTTATCTGCTTAAGACAACAGCCTTCCTTCCGCTGGAGTCCATCTTTTTTGGTTGTTTTTATTTATTTTTTTATTTTGGGGGGTAGGAGAAGTGTGAATCAAATACCATATCTTTCTGTGATCACGTCTTCTTTATCCTGTCAGCACTTCACTTTTCATCCATTCCAGTCTGCATTTGTCCAGGCTCTACATTTGAAAAAGTTTAACGCCCATTTGAAAAAGTTTAAGGTGTCACTYGCACTTCCTTAGCATATTGGAAGTCACTCTTGGTACATCCTGGAACCAAGGATGTTGCTTTCCCACGACCGTGTCGTGCTGGCTGCTCTGCCTGCCCTGTGGTTTACTGATACAGGCAGCTCTTTCTGCTCCTTTGCAACTGCTGGGATCACAGCTGACCGTGCTTTGTTTCAAAGAACAGGAATTTTTCTATGACCTTGTGCTTTGTGCTGCTGTGTTCATTACTTTTCTGTTACCCCAGGTCTCTATAGAAGGCTTCTTTCTCCTTTTATTTTTGTCTTTTCTGGTGGACCCTCTTTATATTTAAGATCCTCTGAGGAAGTAGTCTTTCTCCTTAGTGAAGGTTGCAAAATAGAAGCATTTTCCCTCCAAAATGATTGGTCACGTTGAGGTGGTCATCGACAGCGATAGAAGATGCCTGCAGCCAACTAAGCTGCTTAACCAGGTGTTTAAACSCATCTGATAGTAAATAAAACTTTGCTTTACAACTACTTTCCTTGAGGAGCTACTGTTAGTTGTAATATGAACCAGAGGCATCTGCAAAGCGCTGTGTTTAACAGGTAAATCAAACCAATTATTTCCTTTACATTAGGAAAAAATAAAAAGAATAAATATCTTCTTTGTTAACCCCTAGTAAAGTTGGGTTAAATATCACATGCTTAGTGTTTGATGTGATTTTCAGAGCCTGGATTTCACAAGCAACGCAGCTCGTTGCTTTACTYCCCATTAACTCTGAAGAACAGCTTGGAGACAAACCAGCTAATTGTTGGTTTGTCAATTATAARCTGCAATGAGAGCCAGCTGAGAGAAATGTGATACTTGCAAAGCCACTGTTCAGTTCTGCATCACGCTGTCATGCTCTTTCCCTGTTGTGTATTTAAATCAAATGGTTTCTCTTGTTTTACAAAAATAGTCTTGTGTAAAAAAAATACTTTTTTTTCCCCCACTTTATTAAGGAACCAAGTTTTGTTTTCTGCCTAATCCATCTTCCATCATGCTCTATATTTTAGTCTGCTTACCTGTTTTTTGGGGTTTTTTTTTTCCCAGCCTTTTGGATGAGGGCTACATCCTCAGAGGTTTTATATGCTGTATAAGACATTATTAATGTTATGAGAAGATAGGAGAGAAAGCAATAGAGAGACCGAGCCATTGACATTTCTGCCCATGATTTTGCTGTGTGATACTGGGCAAGTCACTTCCCTGCTCTGCATTTTTATTTGTTTTGTGTGTGATTAACACTAAGGTCTCCCTGGCCAGTTTCTGGTTGTCTAGAACCAAGAATATCACATATACCAAAGATGATAGTTGTTATGTTTGGTGTGTAATTTAAAGCGACAGAGTCTGTGCAGAGGCCACCTATTCCATTTGACCCAGGTTGTGAAATGTCCTTGTTTCTTTTTGAGCTAAGCCCAATCTTAATTCTTCCTCACCTGTGACTCTGCAGACTGTGGTAATTTGTGTGAGTTTGTTTTTATTTTCTCACRGAGAAAACCTGTGGTGGAAGATAAACCCAATCCCAGTATTCAAGCCTAGGAGATGCGGGGGCTGGTCATGACCTCAGTTAAAGTTTCTGCCTGTGCACATATTCAAACAATCCTTGTTTTTTCTCTTGGAAAAAAAAATATTTCAGTGCCTACTTTGGCATTTCAGAAAAGGAGTAAAAATCATTACAGGCTGCTTGGTTTCCTTGATTTGCTTTGAGTTGAGTGTCTCCTCTCATTAGTACCTTTATTATGATCAGTGTCTTCCTCAAATTGTCTTCCTTTGGCGCTCCTATCTATGCCAGCCTAGGAGTCACTGCTGTGCTGCATTTCCCGGGCCCTCCTCCCTATCCCTGTCACGCTCCTGGGACGGCTCCGCGTGCTCCGGGGCGGCCGGCATCTCTCCAGTCCTGCGGACGCGGAGCGGCAGCCTCGCTCCCTCCTGCAGCTCCAGCAGCTCCCAGGCTGCGTGGACCTACCCTCTCGAATTTCTTCATGATTTGCTTTCCTGAAACAGGTTTCATTCCATCCCTCATAGAGGATTCGAAGCTTTAAGTCCCTCCCCTCACTGCCAGCGTAAGCTCTGCTTCGCTCTTGCAGCCCTTTGTTTCTCCCTCCCCTGCCCTAGCTTGTCAGTCTCTCTTTTATCTACCTCTTAAGTCCCCTCATCTTCTACCAGCTATTTAACTTAGAAATTGTGTTATCCAATTGTGTGGTTAACAAATCTAGTTTTGTGAAATGTTTTGGGATAGAGCTTCAATAAAGTTTCTGTACAAAGGAAAAAAAAACACAATATTGCACATCATTATCTGAACAAAGCTGAATTTGCCTAATAAGAGCCGCAGAGAATGTCAGCAAAGACTGCTTTGGCTTTATCTGTAAGCRTAGGAATATCCAATGATAATGTTAAACAAACAGCAGACAACAATATACAGGCCRTCTGCTAATGACAGGGAAATTTATTCGACTGTGTAACTGAAGATAGTGATGAAGAACAATGCAATTGTGTAAAACGACTTGCTTTTGTTTTCAAGCACTGTCTGCAGAGTTAAGCAGCTGCTTTGTCTTTAACAAATTCTCAGTCCCTATTACCGAATACGGCCAGCTCTTGGAATTTATATGGAAATACTGAATAAAGCTTACATTCAAACATCTATATTAGTTATTTCTGTAATCAAGGCTTTTAGGGCAACCTCAGAGATTTGTGCGTGGGTAGCATATTCTGTTAAAATAGGGCATGGGGAAATATAATCCAAAATAAGTACGTGGGTACGGAATTGCTTGTTAAGTATTTTTTACTTTGTGGTCACTAATGTGTAATGCTTGGATGCCTTCGAGTAGTGCATTAGGCACTACAAGTGGAGCTTGCTTTATCCAGCTTATCAGTTATGAGTAACAAATGACCTGGGTTAAAATTGTTAATTTGAAAATTCCTAAACAGAATTTGGTTAAGATTTGTTGTAGTTACTACTTAGCAACATTCACAATGCATCTGAGAGACGTTACAGGTTGTTACTCCATGGTCTTCATATTTATTGGTCTTATAGATGATAAACAGCAACCTGAGCGTTAAAGATACAGGCCTCTAAAAGGTGGGAAATGTGCACAAATAATTTAATAATATTTCTTTTTAAAAAAAAAAAAAACTTGTCTACTTGATCATTTAGCAGCTTTTCTTACAGAAAGTGATAAAACTACTCAGCTGTACTACATGAGGAGAAAACATGGTAAAATCTGGGCAAACAGTTCTGCCAGACTGAAATGTGTTTTGTTGCTAATAGCATTAGGTTATTCCTTCCTTTTAGTTACAAGGATAACAAAATGATAACAAATAAAATRATAACCAGCATGCTGGTTCATGAATAAGTTAATTTACTGTTCAAGGATTTCTGAGACGTTCCCATGTACATTCTGTTGATGAAAACAATCAAGATAGAAAAATATCTGTTTCACTTATGTAGAAAGTAAAAATCTCCCCCTCCACTATCATAAAACTTCCACTATGGTAAAACTTTTTCCTTTAATTTTACATTTTTTTTTCTTAATTTTTATTCAACAGTATGCATACTAAAAGTGTACATATAATTCAGCAGTGCAATGTAAGAGTACAGTTATACCTGTTCAGATAGTATTAGATTTTAATATCATTTTATAGCCAGCTTTGTCTGATTCAGAAACAATCCCAAGCTATACAAGRGACATTGTGCTGCTTGTATGAGGCAAGTTGTCAAGTTTATAGTAGGAGAGGTGGGATCAGAATGATTAAATCTATTTTAATAAGACTCACTCAGCACATGAGTCGGCGTTCGTCGTATAGACCAAACATTTCTGGAGAATGCATCTCCCTGGAGGCAAAAACCCATCAAAAAACCTATTCTTCTCATGAGTTCTGAACTAAGGAGAAAAGCCAGGTGATGTTCTCCAGAAACTGTGCTCCCTATTTAAAGGAAGTATTAAGTTTTGCCTGAAACAGTCTTCTCCATTTAGCAAATATGGAGCAAATATTTAAAATATTTGAGATACGTACTTCATTACTGCAGGCTGGTAGGCTGAAATGGAAGTAACTTTCTGCAGAAGAAAGGTTGCATTGCAGTGGGTAAATTCTAAGGCAGGAGTTCAAGCCAAGCCTGAGGAGGAACTGGAGACTTACAGGTGARCTCACTTTGCATTGGTTTCTCTAATAATAAATCCTGCTCAAGAATCATTGTTCTGTACA